ATATGTGTGTATGTGTGTTGTGTGTGTGTGTGTGTGTCTGCTATTGAAGTACCTGAATATACAATATGCATATATATATATATATATTATATATATTATATATATTATATATAAATATATAAAACGATATACATATACAAATACATATATATTATATATAAATATATAAATACATATATACTATATATAATATATATATATATACATATATTCATATATAAACATTCATATATATATATATATATATATATATTTAGATACATATTACATATTTATATACTTGTATATATATATAGTTTAATTGTGCAATTATAAGTAGATCAAACGTTGAACAATTTGAATCAACCGTTTCAACGACCTGTTGAGTTGATGTGACAAATAGCAAAGGTGTATCCAGCTAGTTTCATTTTATATATTTATCAGTTCGTTTACCAATGTGCTGTTCCATACTATTCCAAGATCGTGACATCCGTTCGCACCACATACCCTCTTACCAGAGGGGTTGCTCGGTGAGTGGCTGACACAGTGTACCTTAAGGCCATGCACGGCTTTATGCGCAAACACTCATTGTCCTTCTGAAAATTGATATCTGTATTGCAGGTCAGATGGCCCTTTGCATCACTGTGTGTCGTCATTACTATGCCATTTGCCTTGCAGTACTTAAAAAACTGTGAATCTAAGAACGATTCGTCTTCCAATAACTTTGAGTGTACATCTACGTGCGTCGGAGGTGATTCGGCGTGCTTTAACCACTCCAGCTGTTGTATAGTGGCGTCGACAACACCCAAGTGTTTCACCGAGCCTTGCTTCACAAGTTCTGACAGATGGCTCCACACTTCCTCTAGCTCTATGCGACTGATCACCTGGCTTTGCGATCCCGCCAGAGATACAAATAGAACTTCCATATTATGCACGTTCTGATTCGAAATAGATGACTGTACTAACTCACTGACATCTTCTGCGGCAACCTTTTCGAAGTGTTCACAGCCGCCCAAGAAAAGTTTTCCAGTCATTTGCCTACTCTCCACAGGAACCGTACTCCACTGCTCGGGTGTGAGTAGCTTAGCAGAGCTTTCTGCAACTTCTTGCTGAAAAGCAACAGTCATTTCATCCACAATTGACGGGAAACTTCTCATACCCGCAGTGGCCAGGAAGTTCTGTGTATGAAGGGTAGCTTTTGTCGTCCGCCTTACAATCTTACTAGACCTAGCGACACCCTTCGCGCTAGATTCGCGCAATGGGGTCATCACCGTCACATTATTGATTCCTGGAGCCATAATTATTATATATTCTATTGTTGTCGTCTTCAATGAAAGTATACACAGTTTTATGAGTCACACGAGGTAAACATGCTGCTTTTATATATAGCAAACATCACGGCGTCATTTTTTTGTTAGGGCTCCAGGCTCCCCAGAGTCAAACTCCTCGCTCTCGCCGACGCCTCCGTCAATAGCCACCCATTTAAAAGAATTTAAAAAGAGCTGGCTTTCTCGAACTTTACTTTTGTGTTGGACTATTGTGTACCAATATAAGATAGTAAAGCACAACAATACAGTATCATAAAAATCTTACTTAACAGTGTCTTCAGTAGGTCGATCACATAATTAACTTTTAGAATTCATACATAACCAAGAAACATTTTGTCGTTTACCAGCTATTTACCAAAGTTTCTTTGTACAATGTGTCTGTCTACCAAGTGCAAATAGAGTTGGAGCTTTGTTGTTGGTACTCTATTAATATTTAAACAAAAACTATTGAAGAAGAAAAAATGTCTGTATAGTATAAATAGATTATGGAGACTGGAGAGTAGACCTGTAGGCTATAGGCCTGTAGCCGTAGACTGTAGCCTGTAGCCAACGCCCTAAACACCGCTTTACGGTGTAAATAGGGTGTACCGCTGTAGACTGTAGATAGACTCTGGGGAATATACAAATTGATTGTATTCTATTAAATAAAAAAGAACAGGAGACTCTGAACTTCTGAACTCTGAAGTCTGAACTTGTGTTGGTGAGGAGACTGCTGGGGGAGAACTAGAGAGTGACGAGTGGAGAGTGGAGAGTGGAGACCGTGGAGAGTGGAGACCGTGGAGAGTGGAGACCGTGGAGAGCTCTGGAGTTGTCATAGGAGAATGTATTTATGTCAGAATGGGGCCGAGGGGCGGGGTCCAGGGGACGGGGTCCAGACTCCAGACTTTCATAGTCCAGGGCTTCAGCAAGTGGCCCTCTATAGAGTTCTCAACTGACTGCTCTGTGGACTGTGCATGTGGGCGAGTGCCGTGTAGAGATTGGAGAGTGAGGCGAGTGAGTGTCACGGGGCACGGCTCGCCGTCAGCTGCTAAATATGAGATGAAGAGTGTCTATGACTAAATATGATATTTTGTATTTTTGTTTATGTTTTTGAGCTTTATTTTTTTTTAAACCAAACCCCAAAATAGTAGTCGGGGGGCCCTGGCGGCCTGGCCCCTTGAGCGTGGGGCGAGTCATCTCAATTCTCATGACTCTTGTAGGGTGTACTCGTGACCCGTTGTGTCGAAGACTCCAAGACCCAAGTGTCCACTGGAATTCTAGATTTTGGAGATGAATTTCAAACAGGTTTGTTTTGGGGGTTTTTTACAAAAGAACAATCATCGTGCCATTATTTTAAAATATTTACTCAATATTTATTTAATGTTGTAAATGTATGATCATTTACTTTGTTCCAATTCCTATTTATTTAACCGGGTTTCGGATCATCAATTCATCATTGTTTCTAAAAGGCGATGTTGTTTTTTTTGCTTGTTGGGGTTTTTTTTGTTTCTTTTTTTTTAACCAAAAGAAAGAAAAAACAAGACAAACTGGTCTGACTGACTGACTGACTGTGGACTTGTGGACTGTGGACTGTGGACTCACTGGACTGTGGTCTGTGGACTCGCTAGACTGAGGTGACACTGGTGACAGTGGTGAGTGACTGAGTGTGGCTGTAGAGTGTGGAGTGTGGAGTCTGCGCGACTATGTATTTACTAGGTTTTATTTAACTTTTAGGGCTAAAAAGTAAAAGGGGGTTTTTATATAAAACCTTAATTTCTGTTTAATTGTTTTACAAAAAACTTAAAAAAAGCTATTGTACAATTTAGGAGGCTATGAAGCTATGGGATATATTCAATTTTTCATCCATCCAACAAGTCAAAGATCATTATTCATTCTGTGTTTTTTAAGTTGTGAACGGCTATCACCTATAAGAGCCTCAAAGCCTCAGTCCCTCAGAGCCTCAGAGGTCCCCCACCACCAGAGAGAGAGAGCGAGCTTGAGAGGGCAAGAGCTCAGGGGAGGACTGGTGAATGGCGATTTGGTGATTACTGAATACTGATTGGTATATTTCGCCCTTCTGACATACTGTTATGTGGATATATAAATAATTTCATAAAAATGTAGAATTGGTGTTTTCTGGGTACACAAATTGAAATTAATGGGTACTGCCAACATATTTCTCTATAGTCATGACTCATGAGATACTCTTTGACTCTTGTGACTGTTTACTCTTCTTGTGTGTATTTAAAACTATTTTTATTTATTTATTTATTTTAAAAAACATCATTGCTTTTTTATATTTTTAAAGTGACATAAATTTCAGACCCCGATTCCAAATAGATTGGAGGAAGAAACCGTTTGAATTTTGATCTATTGAGTCGTCCCTATTCCCTATAGAGTTCGGTATTCTCTAGAGTAGAAGAGTCATGTCGATCTCGTTTAAAAACTCACAAGAAAAAAAAATTCCAATTTGGCCTTAAAGACACCGAGGAGTCTGGGTCTGCTAGTCTGGGCCCTCTGGCAGGCTCTGGGGCCCTGGGCCTGGGGCAGACTTAGGCCCGGTTAGGGTATTCTCCTGGGGAGGGTATTATCTAAGCTTAGATAATAAATACCAAAAAAAAACCAGGTACATAGGTCCTAAAAGGCTAAAACTCTTGTGCTCTCTCTCTAGCTAGAGAATGGGGTGTAAATATTTAACTGGCAGTCTGGCTGCTGGCAAGGATAGTGGTCATAGCCCTCAAAATAAATATTACAAAATGGCGCCCCATTTTTTATTTTTTATTATTTTTTTATGATCTCTGAATCCCTGACCCTAATTTTCCTGACCTGATCCGAATTTGATCGTGGGCGGTCGTTTCGTCGTTTCGCAAGAATCATGTGGTGATGACTCATCAAATTCTTTGTCACAATTTTTCGACATTGTGCACTGAAATTTCGAGAATGGCCCTCTCCTAGTAGAGTGACTCCCAGACAAAAAAAATCTATAATTTCGGATTCATCCGCGAATCCCAAATTTTGCCTATTCGGAGTTGCCAACTCTCCAATTTTTACAATATATAACAACAAGAGGTAAATTCCATAAATATGGCAGAATTAAAACGCAGATGGTGTTTCGGATTATTGTAATCCAATATTTTATTACAACCGGTCGTCCCTAATGAAGAAATTTACAGCGTTTGCGTCTTTCTCTCTGACATTTACACCGTGCTGCCGCTGAGGTGTACGTAAACACCTGAATCTCAGAGTGTTTTCAATACACCTCCACAAGCGGAAAATTAAACTGCGCCTCGCAACTCTGCGGTCGTTATCACATCATCGAAGACAGCGTGTCGACGATATGTTCGCAAGAAAGAAATTGCTACTTTACCTAAAGGTGTCGGCTCAACTTCGACATCGATCAGACCTGGGTGTCCCTCGAGTACATCAGAGAGAGACTCCTGCGATTAAAAGACCAACAAACGAAATGCAATATAATATTAGTACAACGAGTTCATGATATGTGCAACACCCACCGCAGCTCATGATATGGGTCAGGGAAAGATAAAGAAAAGAATCCACGGCGAGGCATCCGCTGTTAATTGTAAGATTGGAGATCTAGCACCATGGGAAAGCTCAAAGCCGCGTCAGACAAATTATATTCGACTGATATCAACTAGCATCAGTTTCTAGAGTGCAGAAAGTGCTACATGAATTAGACAAAAACCACTGTAGTATACCGCTTTTAACACATCCTAAACAAAGACCAGGCCCTCATTCCAGCGATATATCAGGCAACTGTATATAGGAATGATAGAGATCTGATACGCCTCAATTAATATTTGTTAGGAAGGCAAGTGGTCCAACTTGCTGCGTACGTCTATAGGTTGCAGCGTGCATTTATGCAGTATATTGCTGATATGAAACTTACCCCTATGCAAGGACATTTCATTACAGTAAGTGTGCCATACAAAACACATGGACCGAAACGTAAATACACTCAAATAGATACACATGCATGTAGAACAACCGATCTTTTTTTTATCGCCAAGACGCAGAGGTAGCCTATATGTATATGTTGAATTAGTGACCTATATGTACTTATATGTACATATATGTCCTCTATTAGAGTCGCGAATTTGTAAACCTCTGCAAGCCTGATTAAAGTCTTCAGATATACTTACACATAGTGTAAATAAATCATTCAGAGGAACCTATAAAGGCCCTTCGCACACGTCCTTTCACATTTGTGAATCATCTATAATAACCAGACTCGACAAAATTGATGGTATGGTCCACTGAAACGCATCACAAGAACAAAGACGAAACTACTATTAGTAGACATACCCTGATAACCTCGTCCTTATTGAGAAAAGGCTCATGCAGAGGATACTTCTCTATTAATCCAGCGAGCATTCTGCAGTGGGCACAAGAAAAGAGACTGAGTATAGGACTCAAGTGCAGCAATTTGTCGAAAACCAACGTGTGCATTGGGTGCCTATATATCGCACCACAATCCACCACTAACAGGCAAAGGTAGAACAAAGAACAGCCCTTGCTGTCGTTATACTCCACGCTTACGGGCACAAGTCGAGCACACGTGTGTACAGTTCCTGTAACGCGTCTTGCACGGTTGCTTTCCAATTTGAGGATAACCCATAACTAGGGCTCGCTAGCACACAACAGTCGGATCGTGAGAGATAGCGAGTGTGCATGTCACCAGCAGGTGTCAAAAGAGTGACAACCAACTGGGTTGGCAACTAGAAGAATACTTACTGAAAGTACTTCTGATTGAGCTCATACACATTGACCTCCTCCTTAGTGACTCTCAACATGTATTTCAAAAGGTTTTCGAGACGCCATGCCTCTGGTCCAACGAATTCATAGGTGTTGCCTACAGCGTGGGGGTCTTCCACTAGGTTAGCCAGGCCTCGCCCGACGTCATGGGACTGCATAGAGAATGTTTACACATGAGAATACGATTTGGATCAAGAAACTAATTAACGCAACCAGACAACGCACTTTACCACTGTCTATGTAATGTAATAATAATAAAACTGGTCTGGAGATACACCAGAACGCGACACTGCCGAAAATACAATGTTGGCTCCAGCATATATCCTAAAACGGAGCACGCGGCACAAATAAAACCAAACCAAACACATACGAACACACTGTCTACTAGTCTAGCGGTGTGGTGCTATATCGCAACCGTACGCACTTACATATACAGGCCACTTCACGGCGTCCTTGTTTGCGATTGGGATGCCTCCAGGAAGCATTTTGCGCATTTGCCATTTACGGAACAGTCGATCTTCCGGGCCGAATACATCGGACGTGCGAACGATGGTGGCGTCTGGGAAGGCCGCTCGGACTCTTTGCTCGCCATCAGCCTGAGTGATAAGGACAGGACAGTTCGGTACACGTTATGAACTAGTGTCCCCACAAGCACCAGACCTTGCTTGTTGAACTACCTGGTATCTCTGTGTGGCTACGGTTGTGTGCTAACATTGGAAACTAACCACGTATAATCGCTGATATACGGTTGCACGGCGTTTACGTTTGAAGTACCGTGGAAAAAATGCGTGCCCACGTTATATCTTTAGTTTAGCTAGCTCGAAGACGTACAAACGTAGTTCCACACGGTCGTCGCATAGAATCGAAGACAGTTATTACCGCACAAGAGCTGTCCAAGCGGCCCATCCCGCTCGGACGCACATGCACATGCACGCACATGCACGTGCACATCCACTCGGACCAGAGAAGTTTTGAATTATGTACACATTTTGAAGCCTACAAATATACGAATCCGGGATGCACAACAAGAACGACCAAAGACTAAAGCACCGACTGCTAGTGACCGTATAACAACCACAGTACCCTAGATTGCAAGAACTTGGAGGGCGACGACGCATCCGCGCTGACGCAGGACATCTGTATCAAACGCTTCACACCCAATTCGGAGGCGACCTCAGCCACACTTTCCGCGGCAGTAGCGTGGATGTCGGTGAAACTGCATTTGAAATAAGAAATAAGAAATAAGAACACAAACCCGTTAATTCGGTATGACTTTATGATGATACTGTTGAACCACAGTATAATGAACCACGACGTCTGTGAAACTGCATTTGAAACAAGAAATAAGGACAGAAATCAGTCACTCTGGCATGACTTATGATAAGCTATACTGTCGAACCACAGTAAAATGAATCGCCACTACTCTTTATGCAATGCGCAATCTGCAAGCTGAAATAAAATCTTCGACACACCAGTTTGGGGTGGCACAAGAAACTAGTCTACACGTGCGCATACTGGCATTGGTTTTAATACATCGAAAGATATGATAAGATAGGATCGTTAAGCCTTTGTACACGACTACAGGCACATGGTTACTAAAATGCAGTGACAAGAGGCCCGCGGCAATTGGCAACACAGTTGTAGAACGATCAAGTGTACCTGAAGTTCTTAGACTCTAGATGCGATCCGGTAAGATTGTACACCACATCCGAATATTTCATCGCTTCTCGGAGAGAATCTTTGTCCTTCATGTTGTATTCCTGAGTTGAAAAAAAGAGAATCATTCAGATTGAGTCTAGTTAGGGCTGAAGGCAGA